ATGAAGTTGTGCAATGAAATAAATATGATAGAAATGAAATTCAAGATGGGAACTGATTTTTGTAAAACTTTCTGTTTTGGAGGGTAGAGGTAGTTTCACACCATCATTTTGAAGGAAATTATTTGTTGTTGTCAGTGCCCACCATTCCTGGCTGGGGAAATGAGCTCCTGTTTCCCACAGCAGTTTTAAAAGTCCTTTGGGAAGGATGAGATCTTCCTCTTAAAATATTAAGGGACAAGTAACAAGAATGTAAAAAAAAAATATTTAAAACCCATAAAATGTGTTCTGCCACAAACCAGGAGATCTCTGCAGACCACCTCCCCTTGCAAATTAAGAGATGGGACCAGCTTTGTTGCTGTGTTTGTAGATTCTTTTCGACTGAGCACTGTTAAAAGGGTTTATTTTATTATTACTTTGTGTTCTCCTGCCTCTGTCTGTGCTGATGGGAACCAGTGTCTGGCAGTGAGGGCCAGATTCTGTCACAGCTTGGTACAAAACACCTCAACTCGGTCACAGGAGGTAAATTCAGTCTCAACTTCAGCATCTCACCAAGAATCCCTCAGAAACATTGCTCATGTCTGTGCATTGTAGTTATTAGGTGCAAGAAATACAGTTTTTAAAACTGTAATTTATCATTTTTCAGTAATCTTTCTCTATGCTTTTATGGCATCAATGGGTATGACTGTTTATTATGTCTTACCTATAAAATCTGACCTGTTTTATATACTCTTTATGGAAACAGTGTACAGTCATAAATTAAAAGATGCAACTGTTTTGGATATTTTACTGGTGGTCCTGTATTTTCCTGCCAAAAGTGCAGCTGTTTTAGGTTTCTTGGGATAACATTATAAAAGGCTGTGTGCGTTTTGCAAGTTTATGCTTGGATTGCCAAGCCAGAGGTGGAATGACTCAACCTTCCCAGGAGCAACATGTACCAAGTGAGGAATCAAAACAGCGGCTGAAGCGCCCCTGTGGAAAGCACTTGGTGTTTGTGGGGCTGTGTCTGATGGTCAGGACTGGAGATGGTTCTCATGCTGGTCCTGCTGGGCTGTGGATCTGTCTGTTTGATGGGGTTTTGGTGCAAAACTGGTGAAGAATCTCTCTTGTCCTTGTCTCACGGGGTGCAAGAGCTGTGGGGTTACAGTGTGGGATGGAGCCATCCTTTAGCAGGAGCTCTCAGCGTGTGTGGCTGGGGTGGAGCCCTTGGAAGGAGCCAAGGGGAGCCAAGAGTGGCAGTGCCAGCCCAGGCAGCGTGTTTGTGTTTCCATGTCAACTGCTGCTTCCATGTCAACCCAACGCCCTGGAAGGTTTGGGGTAGAATTAGACAGCTCTGCAAATGGGTCATGATGATAATGGGGAAGTTTAAAACCTTCTTTAGCCAAAATGATGGTGGCCTCCCACAGATCTATTTCCCTGGGTCAGTGGGCTCCAGGCACAGGTAGCAAGGAAAGGAAGCTCAGCGCTGTGGTCATCAGAGCAACCAGCACAGTCAGCTTGGAGGAGCGTCTGTCACAGAGTTGAAACCCTCCTGTTCCTGTGGGAGTGCAGGAAAGCTCCTGGTGGTGTCCTTGTCTTGGCAGGACCTGTGGGAGTGGGGAAATGAGCCACCCCCAGAGCGAGCACAGAGAACACAAACCCCTGGGTGCCCCTAACCCTGTGCCACCAGAGCGCTGCCTGGGGCAGCCTGGCTGAAGGAGCGTCATTGCTTTAACTCACAGAGGTTTTATCGCGATGTGTCCAGCGGGCAGTGGGCAGCTCCATCTCCTCGCTTTCTCCTAAAAAGTAGCCTCAACCTGGCTGTTCTGTGAACTGCAGGGGTGTTTGGTGTGTTTGCTCTGCTCTGAAGTGACGCTGCTCTTTGCTGCAGGTACCTCACCCACGTTCGAGCCGCCTCTCCGCAGGACCTGGCTGGGGGCTACACGTCCTCCCTGGCTTGTCACCGGGCCCTGCAGGACGCTTTCAGCGGGCTCTTCTGGCACCCCAGCTAGCCAGGGAGCAGCAGCCTGTGACCAAGGGACACCCAGCGGGGCGAGGAGCCACCCCCGGCAGCGAAGGCGGGGCAGGATCGGCCGGGCTGCACCCGCTGCTCTGTGCACCCCTCTGCTGCAAAACCAGCTGCATTTCAGCGTTAAAGGGAAACCAAACCCCCTCTGCACCAGAGCTGTGTAAAATGGTAGAGACATTCTTGTGGAGGGGGAAACTCGTTAGTCATGTGGTACTTTGCTGAGGGAGGCTGAAGCAATAAGCCACATCTAATGGAAGATGTGAATAACTCAGCTGTGAACTTGAGGCTTAAAGAAATACACTTGTAAATTTTTTTTTAAATAAAGCCAGACTTTAATAAAGTTTGTGGTTTTACTCTTATTGCAGGGTTTTATTTGCACAAGCATTTAAATGCCATTTTGATTATAACATTTAGTGTCAATATTCAAGCCTACATTTTCTTCCCATAAAACTAGTTTTCCCAGTTTAGACAAGTGGGTTTTTCCTCCTGCCAGCTGGATGAGACAAGAAACTCTGGAAATATGCTGACACAACTCTTGTGTGGGATCCTTCCTCTGTGTGTCACTTGGTTCTTACCTTTGCTTGGGGAAAAACCTTTAGCTCAAGGTCTTTCAGCTGAGGTGCTCTAGAAGCGATCTAAGGTGAAGTCACTGTCATAGTCACAATTGTGGGGTTCCCTTTTGGGGTTTGTTTGTTTGCTTTGCTTTTGTATGTTTGTTTTTTCCCTGTTTATTTCATTTTATTTTATTTGCAACTTTTCTGTCATAAACTCAGGGGTTTCTTTAGGTAGGTACATCCCTTTGGCTTTGGGGATGATCCCTGCCACCTGATGTGATCCTTTTTGTATTCCTTGCCTGCTCCTTGTAATGGAGCCTTGACCAACTGCAGGAGGTGGGAATCTGCCCAGGACAGCCACCTTGGGCCATGTTTCATAGGCCACCTGCTCATAGATGTTGAATCCTGCTGAGGCGTGCACTAGATGAATGTACTTTTTCTATACTGTAATAAAGAGATGAATGAGATCTATTCCAGACTTGGTGTTTTCTTATTAGAGAAAATGGGAGGAGATGGCAAAATTCCCATTGCCCTTTGAAATCCCCTTGGTTGTGCCCAGAACAGCTGCTGACAAGGAATGTTACAGAAGGCAGAGGTGAGATCAGATCCTTCCTTCCTTCCTCCCCTCGCCCCCTCTGCCCACCCAGACTGGCAAAGATGCACATCACCAGTGATCTCTTTATACTCACTTTGTGCCCCAGGTTATGCCCTAATGAATGCAGAACTGCATATGCATATTAATATTTATGATTTCAATACACTCATTAACTTGTGTGTAGCGTGGCTATTATTTATTATGCCATTTCTTGTACACGGAACTGGCAACTGCACAGAAAGCTGGAAAACCCCTCGTTATGAGCATAGTGATGTATCTGCTGGACTGGTATCTAAACTGAAGTTGTGCTGCTGGAATGACACTGACATTCAGTCCTTCAGGGAAAAGAACTTTTACCACTTCAAATCCTTGCCTGCCCTGGGACACTGTGGTGAAAATCAGAGTTACATATTTTACAGGCTTGGCCCAGAAATGGTGATCAAAGCCTGGTTTGGATCGGTGCAGTGCTGCCAAGCCCTAAATTGGAGCTGTGAAGCAATGTGAAGTCACAGGGACCCAGTCTGTGTAAGGCAGGGATCCCAGGGTGGCTGCACCATTCCAGAGTGGTGGGGGGCCTTATCACTCCAGCACTCCTTATCACTGTTTGTGGGGGCCCCAGAGAACAGGAGCTGCCTTCAGATGTTTATGGAAAGGGGGAAGGCAGCAGCTGGAGAGCAGCAGAGGTGTCAGGAAACGGGACAGGCAGCGGAGCAGCAGCGGGGCCAGAATCCCAGCAGAGCTGTGCCTGGCAGGAGAGCACTCGCAGGCTGGGGCTGCAGGCGCTGCTGCTGAAGGCCTGAGCAGGAGTGCTCGGGCTCAGAGCAGGCAGGGAGGAACCAGGATAGCCGGGGGAGCCAGGACAGTCCCTGGGGATTGAGGAATGAGATCCTGCAGGAGCCCGGCTGCGAGCGCTCGCTCCAAGCAGCGGCTGCGCAGCCAAGGGAAGGAAAGGCTGTCACACGGAGCCACCAGCAAAACAAACCCGTGGCCCTTGGTGGTGCTTGGGTGAGAACCAAAAATGCAGTGGGCTGCAGGCTCGGGGCTGGAGCCACAGCAGCAGGGCCAGGAGGGTGACAGACATCTGGTTGCTGGGCGTGAGCTCAGAGCTTGGGCTGAGGGAAAATATCTGAAACCGAGAGGGCGAGCCGAGTTCTCTGGCCAAATAAACTATTTGTGGTTGACATTGCCCAACAATAGTTTGGATGGGTAAGAAAAGGAAATCAAAGGCAGAGGCTTTTCAAATCCCTGCGGAATACAAGCAGCCAGGCAGAAAGATCATCCAGGGACTGCAGCAGGGGAGCAGGCAGAGGTGGGGAGGGCTGGAGAGGGCAGAGGCACAAAAGCCACAGGAGGACAAGGTTTCAGGAGGACAGAACTGTTTTTCAGGTGCTGCTTTCAGCCTGGAGCTGCAATGCAAGCATGAACTTTATCTGCAAATGTGCAAAAGACATTAAAGTATTTCTGGCTCTAACCGTGGGCAAACACAACGTTAGGAGTCAACTAATCCCTAACTAAATCTTGGTGTTAAAAATAATTTTTTACTCAAAACCTCAGAATGTTGAGCTAACCTGATACCTTTTGGTATCTCAGGTTAAGCTTTTGAAAGGTTACCTTGCTTAAACAAGAGCTGTTTGTACATCTGCTAACCATAATCCAATGTTCTGAAACCAGAACATCTGTCAGGGAGAATCCAGGGCAGGGGTTGTATCAGTCACCTTCCCTAGACCCAACAAGACATTAAAGACTGTGTTTCCCACAACTTGCACATCATCAAAATGCTACAGCAGAAAACTACCCCAGGCCCTGCCACTGAGTTAGCACAGGGCATGAAACAATAGAGAGCAGGGAAGTACCAAAACAAATTTATTATAAGAGAATAACATTTTAAATTTTTGTAGTAGCAATTTCAGTTGTTCCCACAATGAGAAGAAAAGGTGACTGCAGGAAGCAAGGCTCCCAAAGGAAAGCTGCAACTCGATAGGAACACAGTTCTGCACCTTACTACTCAAGGGGTAAAACAGAGACACCCCAAATATCCTTTACACAAACTAAGGTAGTCACTATAGCTCTGGTCTTCAACTCAGTACCTTCTCTTCAGAAGAATCTTGGCTGGTACACAGACGTTTCGAGGCTGGTTTTGCTGGAAAAGGTTAGAAAAAGTAAGTTATTTAATGTACAGTAAACAGACTGACCTAGCACAAGCTCTGGAAAAGGGAGCTCTGTTAAGGGATTTAACAGGAAGAGATGAGAGTTAAAATTAGGATTAGCAGTCCCAAATGAAAACTCTTAGAGCAATAATGGGGGTCTCTACTGAAAGCCAAAAAAGACTCTCCAAAAACCTGTATGGAGCTGCATTTGACCTACATTTCAGAGCTACCCAACAACAGCATAAAAATAAGTTTCATGGCATTAAAGCTTTAAAAAAACCTCCTTTCATCCAGTTCATGTAACTGCAGATGAAAGCCTCCTTCTGCTCTCTTTATCATGTAGTGCAAAGCTCAAGGTCACTGAAACCAACCAGTTTCTTCAACGAACAATTATAAACAAAAAAAACCCACCCCACAAACAAGCAAACTCAGCACTGAAGATCACTAAGGGTATCTATGTGTCAGTTAAACTCAGTCAGGTACAGAACCTGGTTCTGCTGATGTGCTGACTGCAGACCTCACTGAGTCTGTGTGAGCATAAGGAGAAGGTCAGAGCTGGGACCAGCCCCTTGGAAGTGCACTGATCTGGGCAAAAACACAGCTCCAGTTTGGAAGGACTGAGCTAAGAGAGATGTGTGCTTGGCATTAGATCACAGAGCCACTGCATATCCTGCACTGGACGGGCCCACAAGGATCACCCAGTCCCCATCCTCCTTCAGCCTCAACCTGAGGCATAAAGGTGTGGTTTATGGCCTGTGGGGTGATCCTGTCCAGTCCACCATATTTCTGGGGCGGCTCATGCTGGGATCAGAGGAGCAGGCTGCTGTTAGCAAAGCAAGGAAGCTCTGCAGCTGCTGCACACGTGCAGGAACTCGATCCTGCCGGCCACCTCCGCGCTCAGTGCCACATCCACGCCGCTGTCACACACCAGGAGCGGCCCACGGGGCTGACCGGGTGGGACCAGCCTGAAATCCCAGTGCCACGTGGGAGGTTTGCTCCTTACCTTCATCAGGGCAGGGCCTCTTGTAGAGCACGTCTGCTGGGATCTGGAAACTGAGGCACAGCATCTCCTTGTTGGGCGCCACGTTCCTGACCAGGAAAGTGGAGCAGCGTCCAGCCAAGGAGGTTCCCAGCGTAGCTTCCGCTCGCTCCTGAATGTCTCTGGCTGGGTTGCTGTGTTTGGAGAACCCATAGCAGTGCACAGTGGGAAGGCCAGCAGGGCTGCAGGGCTCCCCGACCAAGAGATGCCTGAAAACATCCAGAAACTCCACAGCCAGAGCTGGCAAGTTCATCACTATGTGGAAGGCGTTTTTTTGTTCTTCCCTGAGGAGCGGGAGCTCTCTGCTGAGCTCCTCCCTCACTGGGCCCCGCAGGAAGTCCCTGCCGTCCATGTTGAACGCCTTCACCTTGGTGTCCACTTTGTTGAGCCTGCAGTTGTGCAGGAGCCAGGTGTAGGACTCGGGGTTGAGGTCGTTGGCGAACACTCGGCACTTCCTCTTGGCCGCTGGGATGGCGAAAGGCCCGATGCCAGCGAAGACGTCGAAGAGAACGTCGCCGGCCCTCAGCAGCTCCACTATACGGCCGTGCTCGGTGGACAGGCGCGGGTTCCAGTACACTTTGGAAAAGTCCAGTTCATAGGCAATGTTATTTTCTTTGACCTGGAAGTCCAAAACATTTGCTTAAGCCTCTGTGTTCAAATTCCAGGCAGATTTAAGCATTACCAGATTAGGTGCCTTATCGAAAGGTGACATGTACATCAGCATTGTCCCACTGGTAGCATACGTGGATCTTAAATAAACAGAAGAGCTAAGCAATCAAATTAACTGATCTTAAATCTTTAACATAACTCATCAGAAACAGCCATGTCCCAGTGTCAATCCCAATGGCTGGCTTTATGCAGGTCCCAATCACCAGGTGGAAATAAAGCAGCAACTTAAAATGACCCTAAAAAAATCTGAGGGTTTTCAAGAGCTTTGTGGCTGGCTGACAGCCCTTTATTGAAAGCAGACCTTGGAAAGATGCCTCAAGCCCTCCTTTGTGAAGTGCACACAGTAAATAAGTGTCTGAGAATGATAGGCCCAAGAACAGGAACAGTCAGCCAAATTCAAAGCCACTGGGAGCCAGTTGTGCAGCTTGAAAAATACTGTATTTCATCTCCCAAGGTGACAGAGTCTGGAAGCTGATCCAAACCCAAGCTTTGGGATGACCACTATCTCAAGAACAGACCTGAAAAGGAACAGTATTTATTCAGATGAGAATGGGATGCAAGATAATACTCTCTTTGCACCAGCATGTGGAATTGTCTGATTCCAGGATTCAGTAACTTGGGATCCAGATCTTGACATGGTTTGCTTTGCCAGCAAGAAACACCCTGAAGTGTCTCTGCACTCCTGGATGCAGCTCCATGGTGTGCCAGGTGTGTGGTGACACCATCTGCCTAATACTGAACTGTCACTGCTGCCTTGACAATCCAACAGCCTTCTCTGCATGAACAGGGTGTTCCACCAAGTCATTACACTTTTTATTTCGTAATCTCATGTTTTCTCCTTTGAAAGTATAAAGCTGCTAACAGATAATAGAAAATATTTTTGTGGAAGCAGTGGCCAAGTTTCCATTTACTGACAAGAAACCCTATGTGAAGAACACTTGGCATTTACACAGTGATTACACCTGATAAATGTCAGAGCAGAGGAGGCAGGAGGTTTGTCTTGCTGCTGACAGGAGAGGAAAAAGGCAAAGGCAACATGTTGCCTAAGTTGCAAAGTCAGTGAGATAGAAATTTCTGTACCAGCCACTGTACAAGGCATGGTGAAATGAGGAAACTGGATTTTTTTAGATCAAATCCACATCATTAAATCTAGGCTGTGGACTTGGAAGAATACATGCCTTCCAGATCTCTGTGGCTGAGTTTGCCCTTGGCAGACCAGGACAAAGGCATGCAGAAGTAACAGCCAACCCTTAGGCTCAGGTGTCAGGAAGGACACTGTGCAAAGGAATGGCCTCGGCAGCATCCCTGCATCACACCTCTCCAGAAGGTTCCATATTAAATTTAAAATACCAGGGGAAAAGGCCTGTACCTTGGTCACCAGGTTGTTCTCTCCAGCAAGCACTTCCATTTCAAAATTCCTGTATGTGCTGTCGATAATATTGGTTTTATTCACTACACAGGTGACTCCTGGATTTTTGTCCATTATAACCTGACCTGAAAGAAAGGGTGGGAAATAGTTATAGTTAAGGGACCAGGACCTTTTAATGTTTTACAACAGAAACAACAAACCTGCTGTTTACAGGTAAATTAACAGAAGTAAGTGTGTGTTGGAACCTCCCTCTAATGACTCAGGGCTGCAGCTGTGCCCTTTCCAAGGCACACACTTCACCCTGGGCCATGGCTCAGTGCAGTGAGAGCACCACAGTGAGAGGAGAGCTGTGCCCCTCGGCACAGCAACTTTTTAACAAAATACAGATGACACAAACACCTTCCTGAGAGGAGCTGCTTCACCCACCGATCAGGTGTCTGTAGGGCAGCTGGTGATCCCTGAGGTTCAGGTGAGCAATGTGGCCAACACGGCTGAATCCGGAGGTGACCTCCTGACCTTCGGGAAGGACGGCTCGCAGGATCTCCTCCGTCTTGAAATTCTCATAGCTCAGCTCCAGGTGGTACTTGGACACCTCAGGGTGGACATTGAGCTGTTTCAGGACCTGCTGCTCTGACTCTCCTAATGAGAATTCTGGTACTTTATGAGGATCCAGGATAACAAATCTGCTGTCCTCATCCTCTGGATCCTCCACCACCCGCTTGAGGCCGGGGCGCTGCAGTACTGATTGTTTTAGGGACTTGAGCACACTATGCACAATTTCTTTCTTGACTTTAAGAGCTGGAACAACCACTGTCCTTCTGAAAGCCTCTCTGTTGAGCACCGTCATCCCACGCACTCCAGGATGTGGCAAATACAGTTCTGGATTAGTTTGATCCTCCACGGTTTCGGGCATTGTGGATAAAGTATTTTTTTTAACTACTACAAAGAGCCCAGGTATTCTGCCAGAATGTTGTGCCAATAGCGTCCAAACTGTTGGAAATGATGTATTTGATGCAGCTGTCCTAAAATGATTAGTTTTCAGTAGTTTGGCACAGTATCTCAATCTCCACAAAGTCCTAGAAGAGAAATTATTCATTTTATAGACATTATGTAATCATTCCATTTAAAAGGCTGCAAATCACATGGATTTGCTGTTCTCTTAAACCAAAATTTCCATCTGTACCAAACAATCCACAATAGTTTAGTAAAAGCTCTTTATTATGAAATATATGCTGCAAATTTGTTATTTTGCAAATGTAGTTTTAGATTCAAACATTAACTGACTTCAAGCAGCAAGATAATCCCCTCCTGCCAAAAAAAACAATGACCTCTCTTTGTTCTAATAAATGTGAATTTAATGTCAGTAAGCCCAATGGAAAGATTTCTACTGTCTTGATCCTACTCTTGTTGGATTTCTCTTGTGCCTGGTAAAATTCATTACCAAGCAGTGGTTGCTAGAAAACAGATATTAGCAACAGTGGTCATGATCACTCTTTGGTGATTTCTGCCTCCCATGCCCCAGTGTAAGGAGTTCCATGCTCTGTAAGATCTTTGCTCCATGAGGTGCATACCAATAAGGTCATTAATTAAATGCAGTGTCCCCAGTAAGGTCCAGAGGAGCATCAGGAATGTCTGCTCCTGCCATTGAGCCCCGGTTCATCCACGTGATGGAAACCTGAAAAGTGGCTTTACACTTCTCTAAATGGTTTCCTCCACTAGAGACACACCAAAAGGGCCCAATTTTCTAACTTGGCACTGGCTGCTTCAAGGCAGGAACCAATAATTTAGATGGTGCTGGAGGCTGGCATTTCTCCTGACTTTTGTAAAAGCTTGTTTTGAGGGAGAGGCTCCGCCAGGAAACTGGTTCTGTTTCCTGGCTCCCTCAGCCCTGCCCCTCTCCAGGGTAACAGCAGGCTGTGTGTTCTGTCCCTCACAAACCTGCTGCGCCCAAACCCTGCCAAAGCTGCTCCTGCTCCCGTCCCCTGTCCCGCCCCAATCCCATCCCGGGCCGCCCACTTCCCTTAGCCAGGCTTTTGGCAGAGCACACCTCCTTCCGACAGACACACTGCATTCCTCTGCCTGCTGCACAGGAGAAATCCTCATCCAGAGGCCTGAGCATCCCCGTGCTTTTCCCGGGGTGGAAACGACTGGTGTGGTTCCCAGAGAATCAAATGGGCTGGAGCAGATTTCTGGGACCATGGAGTGGAACTGAGACCGAACGCCACCACCATGGCACGGGGTGGCTCGCCCCACCTTTCCTCAAACACCTCCAGGGCAGTGACTCCATCCTTCCAATGTCTGGGCACCCCTTCTGTGAGGAATTCCTTCTAATGGCCAAACTGAGCCTTCCCTGGCGCAACCTGGGGCCACGTCCTCTCATCCTGTCGTTTTTCTGGATTAAACCCCTAAAATAAAGCCGCCCGCAAGGCTGGGTCTGGCTGGAGGCGTCTATGGAGAGCCAGCACCCTTTTCCTCAGCACCACGATCCCCGATTATCCCGTTTCCCCGCCCCCGACTATCCCATTCTCCCCTCAGCACCAGATCCCCGACTATCCCGTTCTCCCCTCAGCACCACGATCCCCGACTATCCCATTCTCCCCTCAGCACCACGATCCCCGACTATCCCATTCTCCCCTCAGCACCACGATCCCCGACTACCCCGTCCTCCCCTCAGCACCACGCTTATCCCGTTTTCCCCTCAGGGAATTCTCTCCCCCCGCCCCCGCCCTCACCTCATGCCGGGCCCCGCGCGCCGCGCGCGTCATGGCCGCCGCGCCGGGCTGGGCGGGGCCGGCGCTGACCACGCCCACAGCGCCCCGCCCCTCACAGGGCGGGCATGGCGCGGAGGCCACGCCCCTTGTGCGCGGCCCCGCCCACCGCGCGGCCCCGCCCCTGGCCCCGCCCCCGGCGCTCCCTCAGCGGCGCTCGGCGGGCGCGGGGGGCGATGGCGGCGCCGCCGCCTTGGGGGTCCGGGCGGGCCCGGCCCCTGCCCGCCCGCGGCTGGTACCTGTCCGCCCGCGAGCGGCGGGAGGAGGACGACGAGGACGAGGAGGAGGACCGGGAGACCGCCCCGCTGCTGCCGCCGCCGCCGGGCAGCGTGCGTGTGAGGGGCGGCGGGGAGGGAGCGCGCTGCGGGGGCTGCGCTGCGGGCTGAGGGGAGGCTCGGCCGGGCGGGACGGGGCTGTGCGCGGCCGCTCCGGGCAGGGGAGAGTCACCTGGAGCGGGGGGGATGAGCCTCTGCTCCCATCGCTGCTCCCGATCCCTGCGAGTCCCCGCTTGGAAGCGCTGCCAGGGGCACTGCCCCCGCTGCGAGCACGCTGGGGGAGCATGCTCCGAGCCTGGATCTTGCTCTGCTCCTTTTGCGCTCTGCTCGGAGGCTGTGGGCGTCTTGAGATGCTCACGGGGCGGATCGCGTGTGCGCAAGGATTTGTGTCGTTTTAGAATGAGAAGTGCGATTTCAGGTTAAAGAAGAAGTTGACCCTTGCCCCTTCCCTTGAATTTTCATTTTAGGAAAGATCAAAAGACCTCTTTCATTAATTTTATTCTTTTTTCTGTCCTTTTCACAGAGTTCTTCAAGTCGTGGTTCTTCCTTTGCTTTCTCAGTGTTTAACTTAATGAATGCAATCATGGGCAGTGGGATACTTGGCTTATCCTATGCCATGGCCAACACAGGGATCATGGGGTTTAGGTAAGTTTTCAGATTTTACATATACTCATTTTTAAGTGCCCCTTGTAGGTTTAAATTGAACAAAAATTGATTCCTGAGACTCCTGTACAAATCTGAGGAAGAAATGAATATATTGTGCTTTTCAGAATTGTTGATTAAGATCTTCCCCTTTTGGATTTAGTCATTCAGATCTGGCCTAACATAAATCATACCCAGACATTGCATTAAATTGCCACAGGGTGGCAATTTCTTGGCCATTACTCCTGATAGATTAATATTTTCCTTTCAAAACTCTGATCTCCTTTAGCTCCAGGAATGGGCCTTCTGGAATAGGATGGATATGTGGCTGAAAACTGTCAATCAGCTTGTGCTTTTGTTTGCACTTCCACTTGTTGCAAATGCTACCCTGTGGGTAATGGGGCCAAAGTCACTGGAATTGTCCCTTTGACCATTTCCTAAGCATTGATTTCTCTTCACTGGGGGATGTGTGTTTGTATATAGGTGCACACACAAACTCCCATGGTGATGGCCATTCTGTAATCCACACATCAGGGCATCTTGGCAACTATTGGGAAGATCAGAGACCACGTGAACCATAGTCAGCAGATAAAAGCCATAAAATGAGGAAATCCTGTAGCTTGGTTTTTGCAAGAGTAGCATTCTTAAAGCTCAAAAGTGCATTGTACTGTAAAAGTGCTTAATTGTGAATATTTTGTGGTTTTCAGTATCTTGCTGCTGATTGTTGCCAGCCTTGCTTCTTACTCTGTGTTTCTTCTGCTCAGTATGTGCACTCAGACTGGTAAGTGAAAAGGATTTATCTAACAGTGAGCTCTGAAATATTTCCTCAGTTTTATCACAGAGACATGACTCAGTATAAAGATTGCAGTTTACAGTTGTGTCTGATTGACTGACCTTGAAATACTTAATGTTTTTAACAATATCTGCCATTTAAAAGCAGGATTTTGAGTCTTTTTATGCAAAGCCAATCCCAAACTGACTGGTTTCTAAATTTTTATTTTTCTTTTTTCCAAGTAACTCTCTTATCTTTCCAGAGAGATCCTGTATTTCTGCAGCAAAATTATTTTGGTGCTGGCTGAACTTCACTAGTTCATTGTGTGCTTTTGCTTTCAGTGAATGCTTAAGAGCAATAAAATAGAAGCCTTTCGTTTTCCTAGGAGTAGTGCATATGTTTTTGTCCATGGTTTGAAATGGATACCTTTCAGGTTTTTCAATCATATTGAATTATCATTATTCTCATGGTGCTTTATAGATGAAGCTTGCAGAGCATTTTTGATGCTGAATGAGAAGTCATGTTGCAGCCCTTGGAAACTGCACTGCTTTGAGGCACTTCAAACAGTCCATTCTAATACCTGCAGTCAAACGTGCTCATGTTTTAATTCCTGCTTCTTTTAATTACTACTGAAACAACTGAGTCCTTCCTTCACTTCTCCTACACAAAGATCATGTTGCAGCAGGAAGTCTCACTGCTTATTGTTTCCCTCTCATCTGTTTTCCTCTCTTTTTGAAGGTGGTGGGAGAAAGCTTCTGCTTCTTTCCTCTTTGGCTTTGTTTTCTTTAGCTGCCTTTGGTCTCTCAGATGATTGCTTCCTGATTCTTCTTAGATCTGCTGCTCCTGTCCCCACCTGTTGAGTGACCTTCTTCATACATTCTTAAAAAACACCCCTCAGAGGTAGGCTTATTTTTATGTTTGGTATTGTTGGCTGCTTGATGTTTTGAGATTAATTCTTAGGTAATTTTTTTTCTCCTTTTGGAGTGCTGCATGTTAGAAAGGAATCAGGACCTGAAACATGAAGCTAGAGAGGTACATGAAAAGCAAAAAAAAAAAAAGAAAAAAAGACACTTCAGGTAATTTTAATGGCCTTTTTAACCTCTCACTTTAGGTTAAAAAGTTCTGTATTTTATGGGCATTAAGTTGTATTAAGCTGTTGTCTAGTAAGAAAATAATTAAAGAGATTATTGCAAAATAAGGATTTAAGTTCATTGAAGTAAGAACAGTTTGGATGTTCTGAACTCAGAGGCCTGATATGCAAGAAGGGTTTAACTCCTCAGTTCTTGTCCAAAGGCAACAATCCACCTCAGGAATGCATTTTGATAGCATACAGCTGAAGTGTCAGGATGAAGAATTCCTCCAGTCTGAAACTAATAATTAGTTATCACCTAATGCTGGCAGGTAGGATTTTCACCAGAACTATGTCTGGATAAGTTTGCTGGATTTATGAACTTTTGTCTTTTCATTTTTAAAATAAGATTTGAGATTATATTTTCTGTAATTCCTGTCAGCTATTGAAGTAATTAAATGTTAGGTAGCATTCCAAGTTTTTCCTTGGAAAACTGTCTTTAAAAGTAGGAACTACAACTTTTGTACCTTGACAAAGTAAAATCTCTGTACGTGTTTGTTTCCAAAACACTTAATTAAACATTTTCTTTAAAAATCTATATTAATTTGTAAACAGTATTAGAATATTAAACTTAATCCATGGGAGAAAATTGGAAGGAAATGTTAGTATTTTTATATTAAAAACAAGCTAGAAAAATGTAAAGGTGGTGAAGAGAAACTGTTGAAAGGGTTTCTAAACTATTATTTAGGAAAGAGATGACCTATAAAACACTTTCTGAAAAGAAAGCACTAATACTAATTCCATTTTAAACAGAGGCCAGGATTTATTAAGCACAGGCATTTTAGTTGCAATCCAAAAATAAAGAAGTGGCTTTGGTTACTCATTTATATTTGTCTGGACTTTGACAAAATCAAGTGATTTGTGTAGACCAACAGGCTTAGCAAAAAAAATATTCCCAAGTGTCAAGTGTTTGAGTTGAGATTGGTTTAGTCAGTGTTTGTCCTGGTGTTAATTCAGTATGACCTGTGTTGTTTTGGGCTGATAAAGGCTGAGCTTACTCTGTAAAGCAGAGGAATTGGGAATTTAAGTGGGATGCACTTTGAAGTTTTGTGGCTGTTTTTTTCCTTTCATTTTAGGAGTTAGTCACAAATATTGCTGGTACTATACTTGCCCCTTCACATTTAAAGGGATAATTTCCATGGAATGTCAATAATATGATAAAAAACAAACTAATCAGGCAGAACTTATCTCTATGTAAATTGCAAATATTTTGTTCCATATATTCTTGAAATTACAAAAATAATTTGATCAAGTTCTAGGACTTCCCAGTGTTCATAGGACTAAACTGATTACAGAAACAGTTACTACAGAAAATATTCTTAAGGTTTCATATTGCTTTTTTGGAATTGTGTGGAAAATTTTGTTCTCTTTATTCATAACTCCTTATACATGTGTGCTGTATATTTATTACCATGTGGTAAAAACAACCTGTTCTTAAATATGTTTACTATTTTACTGATATGAAGTTGGCTACCTAAAATGCTTTTTTTCTCCCTTGTGATCAGCTACTTTATAAATGGAAATTAGGAAAAACACAGAGTAGAATCTAGTAAGACATATATTTTGTTTAATTATATTTGTTAGAGATAGTTGCAGGTTTATGCTGAACACTGAATCTGGCTCATTTAATTTTTAAATTTCATTTGTATTGTCATAGTGTGCTGGTGTCTGTAGTAGAGGGGAATGGGAAACACTGCCCTTGAGAAAATCATAGGAGAAACTGTATGAAGTTTTGTTGGGTTTGGTTTCTGTTTGTTTTTGTTTAGTTCATTTCCCCTCTGGGGCACGGATCTGATTGTGTGCAGAAGTTCCATGAAATAAAACCACCTAAGCTTGGGCAAGTGAGAGGCTCCAGTGCTGTCCCCTGATCTCTGTGAGGTGCCTGTGTGTCCCATGCCTTGTGTCATTTGCTGCAGAGGCCGGGCTTCACTCAGGTGTGAAAAGCTCAGCTTGCACAGCTGGGCCCTCAATTAAGATGTGACAGGAGCAGTGTTGTACCAGACAGAACCAAGGAAGAGAAACCAAATGTCCTGACAACAGAATTATGTGGGTTTGAGATTAATTTTACCCTCTGAGGCATTCACAGCTGTTTTATCAAATCCCAAGAAATGAGGGGTGTTTATCAGAAAACTTTTCATCTTTTTGATATTGCTTGAGTTTCTAATAACAAAATACAGAGTAACAAAGGCTTTAATAGGACTTCCCCTCTCTCTGAGAAGGGATTGTTTTGA